AAATCACATGGAATCTCAAGGGATCCTGAATAGCCAAAACCATCTTGAAAAAGGACAAAGTTGAAGAACTCGCATTTCCTGATTTCGAAACTTACTACAAAGCTAGTATAATCAAAACAGTTTGATGACAGCATGAAGACAACCATAGAGCAATGGCATAGAATAAAGAATCCAGAAATAAACACTTGCATATACAGTCAAATGGTTTTCAACAAGGGTGGCAAAGCCATTCAGTCTTTTCAACAAATGATGCTAGGAAAACTGGGTATCCATATGCAAAAGAATGAAGCTGGACCCTTACCTCATATCATATATAAAAATTAACTCAAAATGGATCAAAGACCCAAATATAAGAACATTTGGGAGAAGAATTTCATGACATTGGATTTGGTGATGATTTCTTGGATACGATATCAAAGGCATGAGCAACAAAAGGAAAAATAGATAATCTGGACTTAAGAACTATAAGCAGAGTAAAAAGGGAACACACAAAATGGGAAAAACATTTGCAAATTATCTATCTAATAAGAACTCATATCTAGAATATATAAAGAACTATGCTCAATAACAAGAACAAAAAATCCAATTAAAAAATGGACAGAGGATTTAAATTAGACATTTCTCAAAAAAGACATACAAATGGCCAATAAGCACATAATAAAAAGGTTCAACATTGTTGGTCATGAGGAGAATGCAAATCAGAATCATAATAAGGTATCACTTCACATGCATTAGGCTATGTTGTTTTAAATCAACAGAAAATAGTGAGTGTTGATAAGGATGTGAAAAAACACTTTGGGAGGCTGAGGCGGGTGGATCACGAGGTCAAGAGATCGAGACCATCCTGGTCAACATGGTGAAACCCCGTCTCTACTAAAAACACAAAAAATTAGCTGGGCATGGTGGGGCATGCCTGTAATTCCAGCTACTCAGGAGGCTGAGGCAGAAGAATTGCCTGAACCCAGGAGGCAGAGGCTGTGGTGAGCCGGGATCGCGCCATTGCACTCCAGCCTGGGTAACAAGAGTGAAACTCCGCCTCAAAAAAAAAAAAAAAAAAAAAAGGATGCGAAAAATTAGAACTGTGCAATGCCAGTAGGAATATAAAACAGTGTAGGTGCTACAGAAAAAGGCATGGCAACTCCAGCAAAATTAATCATAAAATCACCATGTGATCCTGCAACTGTATTCCTGGGTATATACCCCAAAGAAGTAAAAAAGACTCAGATACTTGTATACCTATGTTCACAGCAGCATTATTGATAATAGCCAAATGGGGGAAGCAACCCAAGTGTCCACTGATGGATGAATGGATAAACAAAATGTGGTAAATATGTACAATGGATTATTATTCAGCCTTAAAAAGGAAAGAAATGTTGATACATGCATTATCCTTGCTGCAACATGGATAGACCTCAAAGACATTAAGCTAAATAAGCCAGTCACAAAAGGACAAATATTTTATGATTCCAATAACATGAAGTTCCTAGAGTAGTCCAATTCATAGATCATAGAGACAGAAAGTAGAATGGTGGTTGCTAGGAACTGGGGAAAGAAGGGAATAGAGATTTAGTGTTTAATGGCTAGAGAGTTTCAGTTTTGGATAAAATTTTTAGAGATGGATGGTGGCGAAGGTTACACAAAAACACAAATGGACTTAATACCACAGAACCATATACTCAAAAATTGTTAAAATGGTAAATTTTGTTAGGCATATTTTACCCTAATTAAAAAAAAAAGTGTCAAGGAATCTTAAATGGCAGATTAGAAACCTGCAGAATGGTGGGTCTCAATAGGTAATCAGTAGATCTGGCTCTTCACTGATGGGCCTTCAAATATCAGTACATACAGGTCTTTTCTCTTGGGCTGGTTAGAGCCTATTCATAGAATATAAAATGGCGATGGCCAGGTGCGGTGGCTCACACCTGTGATCCCAGCACTTTGGGAGGCCAAGGCAGGTGGATGACTTGAGGTCAAAAGTTTGAGACCAGCCTGGCCAACATGGTGAAACCTGCCTCCACTAAAAATACAAAAATTAGCTGGGTATGGTGGTGCACGCCTGTAATTGTGGCTACTTGGGAGGCTGAGGTAGGAAAATTGCTTTAACCCAGGAGGTGGAGGTTGCAGTGAGCCGAGATTGAGCCACTGCATTCCAGCCTGGGGCACAGCGAGACTCCATTGGAGTGGTGGGGGGAGAGAAAACTGCTATTCCCCAAGGCCTAAAACAGTACAAGATGAATCAACTGCTTAGAGAATTCTTAATATTTGTATCAAGAACTATGCTATTTCAAAATTATAAACTCAATCCTTAAATTACCAAAGGTGTGATATTATTCCTATTTTACTAATCAGGTGGGGTGTAAGAAGACTGGATATCTTGAGTACAGAAACTAAGCCACAGTTGAGATTCAAACATGGAGTCTGTATTACTCCATGACTCACCTTAATCATTATATTACACTGCCACCTTCAGTGTGTGTATGTACACGTGTGTCTATGCATACATTTGCATACCATATACTACACACACACACACACACACACACACACACACACACACTACACACACATTGTATAGCACAAGTCCCCAAGAATAAGAATCTGTTTTACCACATGCTAATAACATAACCTGTGAGTTATGATCTGATGTATGCTGTCCTAGTCAGATTTAATTTAGTAAGTAGTTCAATTTTGTGTGTCTAATTCTAAATGAACCAACCCAAAAGACCGTATCTAATAAAAGGTCTGTAAGTCATGTCACAAAGAATGGCTGAAGGAATTAGAAATATTTAGCCCAAATAAGAAAAGCTGGGCCGGGCGGGGTGGCTCATGCCTGTAATCCCAGCACTTTGGGAGGCTGAGGCAGGTGGATCACCTGAGGTCGGGAGTTGGAGACCAGCCTGACCAACACAGAGAAACCCTGACTCTACTAAAAATACAAAAAATTAGTCAGGCATGGTGGTGCATGCCTGTAATCCTAGCTACTCGGGAGGCTGAAGCAGAATTGCTTGAACACTGGAGGTTGTGGTGAGCTGAGATCGCACCATTGCACTCCAGCCTGGGCAACAAGAGCAAAACTCCATCTCAAAAAAAGAAAAGCTGTCTGAGGGGTGAGGGTAGAGGAAGAGAAAGACAATGTCATGATAAAGGTAGAATAAGATAGTGATCAAGAACACAGACTTCTGACTTAGATATCTGCCCTCTTCCCCTAACTAGCAGTGCCACCTTAGTTAAGTTACTTATCCTCTCTCTGCTTTTCCACCTTAAAATGAGAGTAACAAAAATATCCAGTACCTGGTATCTTGCTCAAAGTAACTATAAGGAATGAAGTAATAAAATGCATTTAACACAGTACTGGGCACAGAATAAGAAGCTCTAAGGTGTGTTGTTGTTAGTGATCAATCTTCAAATAGTAAAAAGCCTGAAGACATATGTGAGGAGAAGGCAGTGAACCACTGCTATAGTGAAGCACAGCTGATGCCAATGAACTACATCGCAGCATGGGGTGAAAGTCTCCAAGACACAGAAATGGTTGGAAGAAAAATTGCTGGTTATATTGTCTAATTCTGATTAATAAAAAATTGCCATTCTCATTAGGAGTACTTGCTTCCTATGACACCTTTGATCAGCCTCCCAATAATATATGTATAGAAGATAGCACAGGATATTAGGAAGTGTACAAGCTAGTAATGAGAAATAAGAATTATAGTCCTACTTTTGATATTAACTATGAGTGTGATCTGGGATGAGCCATATGATGAAGAGAAGAAACAGCATATTAGCTATTATTCCCAAACTTCCAAGTTTACTTTAGAAATATAAACTTACTTCCTCCTAAAATACTTAAGACTTAACTTGCCCTTCAATAAGTAATTAAATTACTAAGTTAAAAATTTAGAAGTCTTTCAACCTGGGCTTAAAAATCTCTGATATTTGGAGCCAAATGGCAACCTGATCACTTTTAATTTAGAGTTCTCCATCTTCTTGCATCACTAGTGATGATAGGTGAGCCAGTTTTTATAGAGAAAGGCTGTGTACGGTAGTGGTGTGCAGTGTGGGCTGTACAGCCTGACCACCCAGATTCTGTAACAGCTTGTTGGCTGTGGAGTCTGACTGACTACATAAAGAAACTAATGCTAAGAAAGCTCATCTATGATTATAACAGCACCTACTAACTCACAGGATTAAGAGCAATGAATATAAATTTACAATTATACTGAAGGCTTGACACAAGCCTCAAAGCACTATTAAACAGTAAAGCTAAACAATGCTGAGTGAGGTGTTTAAAAATTATAAATTTTTTCTATAAGGAAGCAGAAACCAATTTTGGGGGGACTCATTCTGGAAAAAAATATTTTACAAAATTGTCCCATTTTCCAATATAGTAACTGGTTTGCTGAGCTCCAAAACTGTGTGCTTTCTCTTTAAAAAAAAAAAAAAAAAAAATTGGCCAGGCGCAGTGGCTCACGCCTGTAATCCCAGCACTTTGGGACGCCGAGGTGGGAGGATCACGAGGTGAGGAGTTCGAGACCAGCCTGGCCAACATGGTGAAACCCCATCTCTACTAAAAATACAAAAATTAGCTGGGCATGGTGGCATGTGCCTGTAGTCCCATCTGCTCAGGAAGCTGAGGCAGAAGAATCGCTTGAACCCAGGAGGCAGAGGTTGCAGTGAGCCAAGATCGCACCACTGTACTCCAGCCTAGGTGACAGGGCGAGACTCCATCTCACATACAGAAATAAAAAATTTTTTAATTCAGAGTAATATCTTAAAATTATGACATCCCCCTTAGTTCTGGTGTTTTCCAAATTATAAAAATGCATGTTTATTACAACAAGTGACACAAAACAAGATTAAGAAGTATAATATAGGCAAAGCTAATTCTCTCTTCCCAAATCTACTCCTAATTCCATCCTCTGAAATAATCAAGATTATCAGTACAAATGTTTTTATAAATTCATTTTTTTCCAAAATTACTACAGATATGATACTCAAAAGCTTACCTCCAGATATATTGATGGTGGATTATGCTCCCCACCAAATTTGTCCAATAGCGCCTCTATATGTTCCTGTGTCAACTTAATCATTTGTTTGATATTCCATACCTAAAAAATATTTTAAAAGAATTTAAATAAAAATCACTTAGAATATGAATTAGAAATATTTTAATGTAGACAACTACATTACAGTAACTGCCAGTGTTCCTCAAATTTTGAGCTTAGAGATCATTTAGTAAGTGGTTTCTCTCTTTTATTATTATACATCTTTAAATTTTTTTCTACACTAGTAATACAACTTATTCTCAACTACAAAAGATTCAAATAATTCATGAATATTCAGAATAAACCATGAAAATCTCTCTTAATCTTCCTCACATTCCCAGGCCCCCTTTTGAAAAAGTTAAGTTCTGTTTATGGTTTGGTGAGCAGCCTTCCATGTCTCCCTTTTATTCATGGAAAAAACATACATACATATATGAAATATACAAATATAAATAAATACTATATACAAAATACTTTCGACACTTGCTTTTGTCACATAATAATAATGTCTCAGAAGTCTCTCCACGTCAATATGTATATATTTTACTCCCTAATGGTTATATAGCATGCACTGCTATTTCAACAGTCTCCAGACATCAGTGGTATCCAGCAAACAACTGAGTCCAATTTGTTTGGTTTGATAGTGAGAACTGGCTACACAAATTAGGTTATATGGCAGATTCTATTTCTAAGTTAATGATCTAGATCTGCAGTTTTAAGGTTTGTCCAAAAAATGTATTTAACATAAATATAATACACAGTAGAAATTATGGCCTTTAAAACTATTTAAATTTATAATGAAAAAATGTCAGATATCAATTTTTAAATGTACAGGGAAATAAATGGAAAAAAAAAAAAAAAGGTTCCAAGTCTCTTGGTTTATTTAATAATTCCCTTACCAAAGAACATTTAGGTTATCCCATTTCCTGAACATCAAACAATACTTCAAAAAAATAGTTCTGAACTGCCTTTCAGGGTAAAAGTGCAAGTTTTATTTTTTGATATCTAGGTATACGATTCCAGGATTGAAGGATATACGTAACTTAAAATTTAATAAATATGCCAAATGGTCTTCCAAAAGAAGAAATGTATCAAGTCAAGTCCCTATCTGCAGGGTATAAGTCACTGTTTTCCCCTCAATCTCACCAATACCCAGCATAATCACACTTCTAAACTTTTGCCAATTTGAAAGGCAAAAGGTAATAATCATGTTTTAATTTGTATTTCCTACAAAGTTGAGCATTTTTTATGCTTACTGGCCATTTGAGATTTTGGAAAATTCCCTATACTGTACTCCCTTTTATTCTATTGAGTTGTTTCTTTCCTACTCATTTATAGATACTCTTTATTCTGGATATTAATCTTTCTTCTTCTACAAATGTTAAGGTCTTTCAATTGTTTTTCATGTCTCTTGTCATATAAAGTCTTGCTACTCAAAGTGTGGTCCAGAGACCAGCAGCATCAGCATCTTCTGAAAGACTGTGAGAACAGGAGAAGCTGGCCTGGCATAGTGGCTCGCATCTGTAATCACAGCACTTTGGGAGGCCAAGGCAAGTGGATTGCTTGAGCCCAGGAGTTCACCACCAGCCTGGGCAACATGATGGAAGCCTATCTCTATAAAAAATACAAAAATTATTGGGAGGCCGAGGCAGGTGGATCACGAGGTCAAGAGATCGAGACCATCCTGGTCAACACGGTGAAACCCCGTCTCTACTAAAAATACAAAAAATTAGCTGGGCATGGTGGCGCGTGCCTGTAATCCCAGCTACTCAGGAGGCTGAGGCAGAATTGCCTGAACCCAGG